CTTTTTTTTGGGGAGTCTTTTTGTTTACCCCTGGCCCCTTTTCTGTTTTCCTTGTATTTACTCTTCAAGTTGGACGGTGTGTTGTCTTTGCATGCGTTTGTTTGGGAGTACAAAATGGGTCACAGTACATTTTTGTACTCTTGGTAATAAAATTTTTATTAATTAACAAAAAAATAATTTGTAATTTAAAAAATATTTTTTTTTGAACAAAAAAATAAAAAAAAAACAAAGATATTACAATTATTTGTATAAAAATTTAAATTATAACATGAACTAAAAATTTTATTACATATTGTCAGGTTTTTTTTTTAATAAATTGTCAAAAAATGAATTTAAAATTTATTTATAAAAAAAAATACACCTCAAATTGATTGGTAAGATGTGAATTGATCAAAGGGTCAAGTGCACATATTATCAGGTTATCTGAAGTTAAGGCAAAAATAATTTGTACATTTAACCTCTAGCTAGATGTATTTAAAATTTTATCTTTTTTTATTATATTAATAAACTTTGGAAGGTCAAACACACTTCTGACAACATTTTTCACAAACCACGAGAAGAGTATAAGCACAATGTTCAAAATTTAGAAAGTAAATGCACCTTTTTGTGTTTCACGGGTTAGTGCGCTCACTTTGAGGGTATATACAATTTCTCATCTTTTTTGTTTTTTTTGAAAATAATTTCTCATCCTATTAAACATATATTTAAGGTTTTTTTTATATATAAAAATTAAAAGTTCTAAAAATTTTAATTTAAATGACACAATGTGCATGTGAGTGGATTAATATGTAACCCAATAAGAAAATGTACTAGATATGATTAGCTACATTCTTGCTTGTCAATTAAGTTTTGACGACCAAGCTAATCATTTTAAATGAAATAAGAAATTAAAATGTGAATCATGTCTTTTATTCTTTTTTTTTTTTTTTTTACCTTAATCATGTTTTCTATTGTACTTTAAAATAAAAAAGGGGAAGAAGTTCAAGCGTGATGCTTATGATGAGATGCAAAGATGCATTACCAAGCATTTTGCAAAGAGTAATTATAGTAGAGGAGGAAAATTTAAAACGAAAATTTAACATTAATAATATGGTGTAAGTCATTATTAAATTAGTTAATATACATAATATTATAAGTCTCACAAAAATAAAAAGAATTAATTATTAAATAATATAAAATTTATATTTTAATATTTTAAATAATATAACTTATATTACGTTATTAATTTTAAATTTTAACCCAAATTTTAGTTTATTTATCATTATTCTTTTGCAAATAAACATCGTCAATTCCCACTGCTATAGATTGAACCCAATCACTCATATATATCCACTCTAGAGGCCCAAGCCTTTGACCCAACTTAGACCAAATTGGGTTGCTCAATTCAGTTTTGATCCACTGCCTAGTGTCTGGCCCGAGAATATTTTTAGTTGGGCCTTAGCCTTGTCTAAATAAGCTCATGTTTACCAAAATCCTTCAATTGTTTTTTTTCTCTTTTCCTAATAACTAGTAGACCCTGCACCCCTACGTGGGAAATTTTACTCTAAATTTATTCTCATTTATTTTATCCATCTTTTATTCTCTAAAGCATTGAACAATTGGAGCATTCTTCCTACTTTGAGAAATAAAAGTAAGGACTAAATTGAAAAAAAAAAAAAGAATAAAGAATAAAGAAAAAAGACCAGCTCTCATAACCATGGGAAAAGGCAATTCTCAAATCTATTTTTCCCATCTTGGATGAGTGGATTTGGTGAAAACCGAAGAAAAATCTGACCAAAAATTGGGATTTCCTCTTTGGTAATTGAGTTCTTGCGAAGTAACTATTGTATTGCAAACCTGCTATTGATGATGATATCTTCGTCAATTAAAAAGGGAAATGTAGAAATAAAAAAAATTGAGGTCAATCTAGAATGCTCTCCTTCTTTCCTTCACTACTCTGGTGGATTTCTTCGTCTATGTGTTTTCAGTGAAAATCAAGGAAAAGAGAATATGGAATGAAGAGAATCGGAGAAATTAAAAGGGTTTAGTTTCGACGAGATAGGAAATGCATGGTGTAACCGAAGATAATGGGAGAAAAGGAATTAGAATTCAAAATTCAACAGAGATAGTGGTTTAGAATAGGGTGAAACCTAATCATCAGCTAATCCTTAATCTCGGTTTTAAGTAGAAGGTAATTTGAATTAAATGAAATAGAGAGAGGATAATCATGTAAAAAAGTTTAAGAAAGAATAATTCTAAATAAATGGATAATTTTTTTATGAACAAAATAAATAAATAAATAATTATAATTGATATTTTAAAAATAAAATATTAAAATATTTCGATAAGATTGCAATCAAAATTAATTTTTTTTTTTAAAGGATTGAAATGTAGTTGGTTAAGACTTTACCAGGTATAATTAAAAAGTAATTTTACAGTCATTATATTAGTCTTTGGAACTTCATATATTTTGAGTCTTAATATTATGGATTTTGTAAGAGTATTTTAGTGTGTGTCTATATATATAAAAGAGGGTGAAAATGAGATTTTTAATTTTTATTTTTTAAATAATTCTCAATTTATAAACTTCTTTTTTCACTTTTTTTTAAAGGAAAAAGTTTTAAAATTAGTGTAAGACGTGTTGTATATATTCTTAAAATTTTTTTAAAAGATTTGTTTAAAAAATTATTTTTTAATTAATATTTTTAAAAACCAACTATTAAATTGAAATTTTAATTTGTGTAAATGGAGCATATCAATTTTCATATTGATTTAACACTTATAATTTTTTGATCAAATGAACTATATTTATTAATATATATTTAATGTTGTTAAATTTTGTATAATCAATGAAGTGATATGTTTATTAGAATAATCTAAATGCATGATTTATATGAATAAAATTTTAATTTAACAGTAGATTTTTCAAAATATTAATTAAAAAATAAGTTTTTTAGAAAAAAAATTTTTTTTTTAAAAAAAGGAAGACAAACACTTTTCCTAAATGTTTTTCACAACTTTTTTTTACATGAGACTCACTTAACAATTTTTCTTATTAATTTTCCCTTACTAAGTTTCCTTACTAATTTTTCCCTATACTTTGTCTATATCAATTGCTTACTAAATTTAACAATAAAGTTAACTCTCTAATGAAATTTCAACAAAATTTTCATTATAATCTTTATTAATTTTCTATTCAATATTTTCTAACTTTCCATATAATATTTATTCAATTACCTTTTAGGAAAAAACTTTCTTAAAAAAGTTTAAATTTAACCAAACACACCTACTAAAGGACAGACAGAATAATTTTTGAAAATTACTACATTCTCTCGACCTGATCTTCCACCTCTTTATATTTCCTAACTAAGAAAAAAAAAATTGAATGAAGTTGCAGAGAATTTGAGATGATAAAGAATGAATAAGGGGATAATTAGGACAAAGAAATTCGTAAAAAAATATAAAACAATAAAAAGGAGAAAGAAAATGAAATCTACGGAATTAAGCGAGTGGAACAGTGGGAGTTGAAGCGTATATTGCCCAAAAATGAACGAAACCACTCTGATTTGGATTTGTATTACGCACAATTTGCTTCTGTTAGTTAGGAAAAAACTGGAAAGGAATATAGTTTTTGGGATGGAAACTCTAAAAAAAAGAGGGTACAATATTCAATTTTGTTAAAAAGATAAGTTTTGGGGTGGGATTAACGAAAATTAGTTTGCCAATAACGGAAGCCACAAAAACAGTTTTTTCTTTGAGTAGAGGGACCTTCGTGAACAATTGTAAAGTATAAGGATGTTAATAAACGAAAACATAAAGTAGAAGACCGTTGTTGGCTTTAACCCCACAAAAAAAGGTTGCTTCTACACTCTCAATGTCATCGCGCCCTATCTCCCGAACTAACTAAATACTAGTTATTAGTTACAAAATTTTACATTAGTCTATCTCTCTAACTATTTTTGTTTGAGACCATTAGTCTTTTGGCATACAATAGTTT